TCGGTTGATCAGACCATGGGCACCGCTGAGAGTAGGAAACGTCTGGCCAGTGGAAATGGAAAGGACTGGAACCAGAAGAGAATGCAAGTAAAGTGGGGACCGGGAAGAAAGACAGCACCGAACAGAGGTAAGACAGCCACGAGGTTAGGATGGCTGAATTTTTCTGAGAGGACTGGTCTGGGGACCCCAGGCGGCCATCAGGGTGGGGTGAGATTACCTGGGGTGAAAGGGTGGGAAGTATGCTATCCAGGGGCTGGATCCCTTTCTGTTGCTTCAGGAATGATGGAAGGAGCCAGGAAGATAAGATAACGGTGCCTATAAATAAATGGTGGGAGGGTGGACCTTCCAGATCCTCAGCAGAGTGTTAGACCTTAAGAGCAGAAGCTTCAGGAATAGCCAGAAGGCCGGGTAGGTGGAGGCAAAGAGAATGCCTGCGGGTAAAATCAGATTCTAACATAGGAGCCTGAATCACAGGTTCCTCTGGACGTGACTTGTGAACTGGGATGCAGAATCCAAATTGCAGGATTTGCAGGCTGAGTGAAGAGATAAAACCGTGTTGATAGAGAATTATGATGTTGCAGTACACAAAAGACCCAGCAGTTCTAGAGAGTTCTACATCACAGGGGCTGTCTGAGTGTCCTGAAGAAGGAACACTGACTGGAAAAGTGATCCCCTGACATCCCTCGAACACCCTGAGGCTCCCCAGCAGGCTTGCTCCTTACTTGCAGGGCAGCTGTCAAGCCTGCATTTAACAGAGGAGGAAACTGAGGCTCAGAGTGACTTAAACCCACGAGCTTCAGCTCAGCAAGGCCAGGACTGGAAGCACACTTGGGTCCACCAACTCCCAGTCCAAAGATCTTGTGAATATACCAACCCAACGAACAACATTTGCTGGGAACCTACTTATTTAATACTACAACCATTATCTTCCTTTTTCGACCTTTACCTAGGGGACCCAGGCTAAGTGTTTTAGTACATCACCTTTGGCCCCAGGAAAGTCTCCCAACTTGAACTCAGGCTGCCTGGTGATGAGGAATTGAGTCTTAGAAAAGACGGAGATGGACAGAACGGGGAATCAGACCTTGACTCTGAATCCAAGAACGTGTGTGTTTGGGAGGGGGCGGGGAGCACAATAAAGACTGGGATTTTCAAGTGGTTAGGATCAGTTTAGCTGTTTTAGGTACTTTCTGAGCGTGTCCCAAACGGAAATTGTCCAGTGTAATAGTGGTGGAATCGCGGCTGCAGAGGTGAGATTCAACAGTCAAACTTGGTGCTAAGCAGCTCAATAAGACCTGTAAAGACAAAAACGAAATTTAAAAGGGGCTGATGGCAAAACAAGTGGTGAGGGAAAGCCAAAACGGCGCAAATCGAAGAAAAAAAAAAAAAAATATATATATATAAGGAAATTGATTCGAATTCTGGTGCAAGAAAGGAGTCACTTGAGGTCAAGGCGGCGGCAGAGGAGGCACCAATCACCAATCGGAAGGGAGCATCGACCATGGCGACAGGCCAGCCCAGCGAGGAAGAGGGATGAACCTCTAACCACCGGGCGTTCCATCTCGATCAACTGGGACCTTGAGAGCTGGTGGGCGCCGAACGCTCCTGAAATTTCGCCAGAATGTTGCCCTGTGGCGTACTTTTCCCTCAAAGGAACTCTGAAACTTTCCAAACTTGGGTTTAGACAGTCAGGTGAGAATCGTGGCAGTGGGTCGTCAATTTTTTTCCATGTCCCCAGGGGCCATTCAGGGAGCCCGTCCAGCTCAGGGCTGGGTGCGCGGGGTGGCAGGCGGTAGGGCTGAGCAGCTCCCGGACGGAGGGGGGGTTCACTCTGAGAGGTGGTCCAGGAGGTGCTGGGGTTGCTGCCCAAGGGAGATGGGGAGGGACTGAGGGGGTCTGGGAGGACGAACAGGGGAAGGCAGACCCGCTAGAGCAGGGGAGAAGGGAGAGGAGAAGAGAGTCCAATCAAAAGGAGGGCTGGAGAGGGGAAGCCAGAAAGGCAGCGAAATGCCCGGGAGGGTGGTGGTGGAGAGAGGAGCGGCGGAGAGAGAATGAGGAGGAGGCACAGCCCAGAGTTCACGGCCAGGCCCGAGGTAGACCGATTACAACCTGGCGCTCAGTCCTGTTTCCTTTTCCTCAGTACCGGACCGCGCTCACGGGCCGGGCTGGTGGATCGAGCGCCCTGGAAGCAAAGCGGGCGCCCTGGGGAGCCTCCCTTTTCACGTGGAGGAACCCCCCCCCTTCCTCCAGGCCCCCAGGGTCCGGGATTTCCTCAGCCACCCGGAGCCGGCCTGGGCAGTTTTCCACCCGAGGGGCGGTTCAGAATCCTGGGGAACGTCTGCCCAGGACCTCCTGAGTGACTGGAGGGCGAGGGAGGAGCGAGGGAGGGGCGGAGGCGACCATATGAGCCCGCCCCTCTGGCCGGCCGGCCCTTGCCGGGTCTCCAGTCCGGAGCCCAAGCGGCTGCTGCGGCGGCAGGTGAGGTGGGCGGCGGACCCGGTGAGCGCAGGGCAGAGGATGAAGGCAGAGAGCGCGGTGAGTCACGGCGGAGCTGGCCCCGCTCGCTCGTCGCTCCCTGGCTCCGCCCGCCCTCCCGTTGGCCCTCGCTTCTTCCTCCGTCTTCCTGCTGCTCGTCGCCCGCCGCCGGGTCCGGTCGCGGCCCCCAAACCTCGGCTCCTGCCCCCTCGCTCGAGAGCCTGCCGGCGCGCGGGGGCCCATGAGCTCGTGGTGCGCGCCAGCCAGCCGTGCCCGGAGCCTGAGCGCAGCCTCCAGGAGCCAGGTCTGGGCGTCCAGGGGTGCGCGATCCCGGCCTTCGGAAAGACGCCGCGCACTGCCACAGCCTCCCGTGGCCTTAGGGGAGGTGGTCCTAAGAACTGAGGGGCTTGGAGCCCCGGCCGGGTGAAACTCCATGGAAGGGCGAGACGAGGGACCGAGAGGCTGAGACCGGGGAACCTGGAGAGCGACTGGGACAACTGAGGACTGGAACCTGGAGGGACTGGGAGGCCGGAAGTCCTGACCACCTGAGCGCCGGTGATCGGGAGAGGGGAGGCGGCGGAAGGGGAAGAAGGGTGTCTCAAATTTCCTCTGCGTTGGGGAGCGAAGCCGAGGCGCGCCCCTGCTGTCTCCCTCCTGAAACTTTGCAGGCAGGCCGGCATCCCAGGACTGGACTCCCTGGCCCTGTGTCGGGAGAGAGGGGCCACTCTTGAACCTAGTCGTTAGCTCCTGCCCCCGGTCCCTGGGGCAGTTCCTGCACGCCAAAGCTAGGGTCCCAGGCCTCTGTTCTCAGCCCAGCCCCTTCTGGCTGCCCAGCCTGGGCCTGAGGCTCCATCGCTGCTGCTTCACCCTGTTCCTTTGCGGGGCAGCGGGAGCCTGAGCAGGCGCCCCAAACCTCCCTCCCTCCACCAAATCTGGCCCAGGACACCTCTTTTGGTCCCAGAGGCCAAAGGTGGTAGGGGTCAGCTGAACCCTGCTGTAGAAGTCCCTGCCCTAAACCACTGCACCTCCTCCCCCCACCTCATCAGAGAAGGCCAGGGGACACAAGCCTCCCACACCTGAGGCACCAGGCTCCCCAGGCTTTGAGAGGTGGTGAGAGAAAAGGATCAAGTCACAGATATGTGGTTAAGCAGAGGGTGGGTATCTTTGGTTCCCAATGGTGGGGAAGTTGATAACAGACCAGGAGTCCTGAGACCTGGTTCACAGAGGTACATAAAGTATGCGTTTGTTGATTGAACAAATAAATGAATGTCTGTTCAAGTCATTTCTCCAAATGCTGCCTCAGTTTCC